CTTGTGTTGACACACGACGCTCCACAATTGGATTCTGCATCTATCTTGGGGACTCTCTAATTTCATGGAAAAGCAAGAAGCAACATACCGTATCTCACTCATCCCGTGGGGCCGAATACAGAGCTCTGGCCTTTACTGCTTGTGAGATTCAATGGCTCCAGTTCCTGCTCCATGATTTCCAGGTGGCTTCTTCAACTCCAGCAGCCCTTTACTGTGACAATCAAAGTGCAATTTACATTGCGAAGAACCCTACCTTCCATGAACGAACCAAACACATCGAGCTGGATTGTCACTTCGTTAGAGAAAAACTTCAATCAGGCTCCCTCAAGCTTCTACACATCCCCTCAACACATCAACTTGGAGATCTTTTCACGAAACCACTATCACCAACTCCATTTCTCTCATTGCTCTCCAAGCTTGAAAATCATTTGCCAACGGTGGACTCTTCTGCAACGACGTTTTTCCTTGCACCATGGATCTGTACGATACACAACCATTCCCATACACTTAAAGCTTCACGCTGCGCTGCCGTTTTCAAGAATGAAGAACCTCTCATGACGTAGTCGTTTTTTCCATGTGTTGTTGCATGTTCTTACTTTCATGCCAAGACAGAGTTGTTTCCTTTCTAAGCTTCCAGACAAATGTACTGAACCTTGTCTTCTTCTTCTTCTTTGATCTGCCTATGGAGAGGCAGAGGAGCTAATGAGAAACACAAGTGCTAGGTTTTATCACTTCATTCTCCTTCGTTTATTACAACACCCTCCCCAATTGGATGACTTTGGATTCGGGCCTACGCTATGAAGGTTTTGCTCACTGGATTGAAGATAGTGGGAAATGTTCCGATTGATATAGGCAATTTCAGAGATCCCTAAAGTTCATGTAGGATTGAGGCGGTTCGTGAAGTCGATACATTCGATGATGAGGGTCAAGCTGAATTTCGCCGTGAAACCCCTGTCTTGAGGGTGCGAATGTAAGTGAAGTGGATGCAGGGGATAAAACGAGTGCGGCGAAGAAGGAGAAGGCAGTGTTGGGGAAACGAACTAGTGTGATTGTGCAGCTGATTGAGTGGAATTACTTAGTAAGCAAAGTGAAAGGGATATTGGAAAAGCTGGGTGCTTGTGATTTGAGAGCGTACGAGCTAGGGTGGAGAACAAGGGGAGCAGTAAAGGAAAAAAAGGCTTTCTTTTTTATTTGAGAGCGTACACAATTATCAGCTTAGTTGGGTGCAGCTCATCCACTTTAGCATCATGGCAGAAGTTCTCTGACCAGGGGTATTTCACTGGCATCGTCGACTGGTTGAAACCCACGTCGGACAACCAAAAGTAGCTTCAGAGAGGGAGGATAAAGATGGGGTGTCAATTAAATTTTTTTTTTTTTTTTTAAATTGACGGTCTAGTCAGCAGGTTTGTTTAACACGTCATAAAAAACTGACGAAATTAACGGAGACTAACGGCAATGACTAGAGGTGAAATGATTTATAAAGTTAGTGACGAATAAGAAAAAAAGTAATTTGGGTGGCAAACGTGAAATATTTATGTAATTTGAGTGACCAAACGTGTAATTTAGCCTATATACTAACCCTAACATGTGCGACCTCATCAACTAGGGTTAGGTCTCTGCAACTGGTAAACTATGGTTTACCACCACTAACAATTAACTAGTGACAATTAAGGACAACCTCCTAACGACTCTCAACACTCCCCCTCAAGCGGAGGCGTGAATGTCATGAAGGCCAATCTTGGAATCAAGGTAAGTGACCTGTTCACTACCCGAACCCTTTGTGAACAGATCGACTACTTGATCAGTAGTTGCAATCTTCTGCGGGTTGACTTCTTATGACGCCACACGCTCTCACACAAAATAACAGTCCATTTCGACATGTTTCCTACGTTCATGGAAGATTGGATTCATCGCAATGTGTAATGCTACTTGGTTATAATAGTACAACATACTAGGTCCACTATGGTGTACACTCAACTCCTGTAACAACCAACACAACCATATCAACTCACTTACTGTAACCGCCATGCACCTGGACTACGCGTTTGTTTAGCTCGTAAACAGGATGAGCAAGGTCGACTATTTAGAACTCTTACTTCTCCAGCAACGGATGGCCCAACCTAGCTTGCCACAAAGTGAGGGACGAACAATCTCTACAAGTCGTAGCATGTGTGGTAGCCTTCTGAATTGCATCGAATAGGCGGAGATAATACAACCTATCACGTTGGCGGTCCATCCTAATCATCTTCTTGCAATGTGAAACTCCTTTGTGAGGAGCCTGATGGATAAAAGATTGCACTTAAATTCTAGAACTAGTAACACACTAGGTAAGACCATCCCGTTACTCAAGCGAACCGACCCGACTTGGTCGACATTTACCAAAACCCCATTCAAAATCCTTACCCGTAAATCAGACGGTTGGAAGCCATTAGAAAAAATACCAACATCATGAACTATATGCTCATTACATCCGTAGTCCAACACCCATGTAGTCGAACAAGAGAAAATACCACTGAGCTTGGTTGCTGATGCCTCAGGAGAAAACGATGATCCAGCTAGGAAATCCTTGAGTTGTGTTAGCTGCAACATACTCAAACCTGCAACAAACTCTCACCAACTTCTGCTTTAGGAGTAGACTTGGGTTGACCAGATCCTGTCTTCTGCCTAGTGCCGTCGGTTTGAAAGGCGGGAGATCAGGCCATCCAATGAGATCAAAGCATCTCTCTTTGAAATGACCTAGTTTCCCACCGTGAGTACACTTGTGTCAGACATGGCCATCAGAAGAAGAATCACAATAAACCACATCATCACGAACAAAGAATGCGACAACATCAGAATTAGGATGATTACTGGCAGCAAGTCGACGTTGATGGGCCTCGTTATAAACAAGCTGATAAGCTTCCGATAACGTGGGCAACATCTTCATAGAATGAAATTGAGTCTTGACAGTAGAAAACGACTCATCTAGACCCATAAGAAAGTCATAGAGCCAAAAAGTCCCTTCACGTACTTGATGTTTACGTTCTGCTTCCCAAGTGCAGTGACCACATGTACAAGGGTGAAGCTGAGCCATAGACTGAAATTCTTCCCAAAGATTGCGTAGCTGAGTATAAAACATAGAAACATACAACTTCTCTTAGGGAATATGACTAATACAATGACGAAATTCATAAACCCGAGGAGCAGTACTCTGAGCGAACCTCTCCTTCAAATCCACGCAAACCTCACGGGAGGTCTGAGCATACATGGCCCTCGGCGAACTTGTTTGTCCATGGCCGAGGTTAGCTATCCCTTACCCATGGTATCAGCACGATACTAACTCTATAGCACAGTCGGGTCTTGAGGCACCTCAAGAGAACCGTCAACGAACCTAGCTTGTTCTTAGCCAACTAGACATTTGTCATATCATGAATCCAGTCAACATAATTAACTTCATTTAACAGTTCACCAATATATACCTTATTGGGATTATCACACTAACTAATGAAATACGATGAGGTAGGATCACTTTTCAGCTTGTAAACCCTGCTACCTGAGCAGACAGAACCCTTGCTAGAGTCATTGCCTTGCGGCTCGTCGTCACTCATCGCGGACTAAGAACAATTACGATCTTGATAGCTCTGATACCATGTAAAATAAGTGCAAGGCGAAAGTAAATCGAAAAGATCAATTTACGAGGTATCTGCGTTCGGTGTGAACGAGACTAACTCACGGAGAAGCTGCTCAAGAGATTTTAAGCAGAACTCTTATTATAACTCACCAACAACTTAACAACGACATACAGTAGCATGTATCATGCATATATATGGTAACCCAAACCCGTGCAACCTCATTAACCAGGGTTAGGTCTATACAACCGGTAAACTATAGTTTACCATTACTAACAATTGACAATTAAGGACAACCACCTAATGACTTTCAACAGAAAATTCATTGTTTCTATATAATTCATTTTATCCAATGACTTCGAGTTAGGGGTGTGTTAGGACATTTGGGATTAGGGTCTAAGTACGATAGGTTGAGATCGGGTGGCTAGAATTATGATAGAGTCTTAAACTACTTTTCGAAAAGAATATTTTCATCCTCTATGGAAGCCTTGGATTAGAGAAATTTCTATCGAGGATAAAACTATCATCACTTTAGATTCTAGGGTTAGGAACACTAAAACATACTTAGAAGTTTTTGGATGAAAAAAGAAGAAAATATTTGATCATCTGTGGCATCATCCACCGCGCACACATATTTATAGCGGCTGAATCCATGCATTTGTTTCGTGGAAGGTTGCATTTTTCCATATTAAAGTTATCTTTATCCATATGAAAGCCATGATGACAACTTTACTCATAACCATGGGTTTTTAACTATCCAACTCATTTTGGTTGGGTCTGAAATCCAAGTCAAATGTAAATAGATGAAGTCATATGGGTTAGTACCCATGCCCATTATGTTGGGTTTACTTGGGTTTTACCAATGAATTTGGGTTAAAAAAATTCAAACCCAAATAATTAAACAAAAAATGAAAAAATGAAAAAAAAAAAAACAAAAACAAAATCTGGACATTCTCTATCTTTGCTTCATCTCACTCGAGAGTCGACATTCTCTCTTCTGTATCTCTACCTCCATCGGTGTCGTCCTATATCTCGACATGGCATATATCATATTGTACGTAATTCTTAATTAAAAACAATATTGGATGGGGAAGTGATTTGCATATGCCTCTCTAGCTTTCACATTCAAGAACACAAGTATACATGATTTAAATAGATTAATAACAGTCGTTGATCCCCACTCGCTGCTTAGACAAGAGGCATAATTATATAGCTGTCAATTCTTAATTATTTGCATAAAGCCCCCTACCAAATCTCCCATCCTATTTAGCTACATGCCTTCCTCTCTTCTCGATCTATATATGCCTAGCTCATGTACTCTGAAGTTATTACCTCCCACAGACACAAGCAAATCAGAATCCCTTCTCTCTCTCGTCTTCTTCATCTGTAATTTTGTCACAAATAGTCAACAAAATGCTTGCGCTAGCACCACCCTTGCTTGTGGTTTTCCTTGTATTCATTAATGCCGCAGTTTTCATCCCCCATCCGGTCTCAGCGGATCTCAAACTCGGGTTTTACCAATCCACTTGCCCGCAGGCCGAAACCATCGTCCGCCAACTTGTCCAGAAAAGATTCAACACCAATAAATCCGTCACCGCTGCCCTTCTTCGCATGCACTTCCACGACTGTTTCATCAAAGTAAGCATATCATAAATCGAATTATTGTCTATCACCCAAATGTATAAGAGTGCGTAAGAAAATAATTAATCAATAGATGAGAGTGTACGAAAAATGTCATGTAAGAAAGTGATTGAGAATTATACATGGAGCTACCGGACAAGCCTGATCACCTCTTTAGCAAACAAGTGCACTCCGACATAGAGCTCATTGTCGAGAAATCTTGCCAATAACTCTGAGTTATTGACAACTTTTATTCTGAGTGGCCAAGTATTTTCCTTTTTGGTTTTATAAACACTTTGAGTTGTAAATTCAACAATGATGGGTACTCATTTCCCAATAATTATGTGTTATTTCTCTAACAAATGTTCCTTCGTTTGTTTTCCATTCGCAGGGTTGTGATGCATCAATTCTAATCGACTCGACGAGCCAAAAGCAGTCGGAGAAAGCAGCGGGCCCCAACTTCACGGTCCGAGAGTTCGACCTCATCGACCAAATCAAGACGGCTCTCGAGGCCGCATGCCCCTCACGCGTCTCTTGCGCCGACGTCATCGCGCTCGCCACCCGAGACGCCGTCGCCCTCGCCGGCGGCCCCAACTACCCTCTCCCGACGGGAAGGCTCGACAGCTTGACCTCCGACGTCAACGACGTCAACCTCCCGGGCCCAACGATGCCCGTCTCCCTGGCCTTCATCCAATTCTTCGAGCCCAAGGGCTTCACAATCAGCGAGATGGTCACCCTCCTGGGGGCCCACACGGTAGGTGTGGCCCACTGCGCGTTCTTCCAGGACCGGATCTCTAACTTCCAAGGTTCCGGGAAACCCGACCCGGCCATGGACCCGGCCCTGGCCGGGAGTCTCCGGAAGACCTGCTCCGCGAGCAACAACCCGGCCGCGTTTCTGGACCAGAACACGTCGTTCGCCGTCGACGCGTCGTTCTACAGGGAGTTGACTGTGAAGAGGGGAGTGATGCAGATTGATCAGGAGCTGGCCACCGACCCGTCCACGTCGAAGATGGTATCGAGTCTCGCGAGGAACGAGTCGGGTTTCCGGCAGAGCTTTGCGGCGGCGATGGTGAAGATGGGGAGCCTCGTGGGGAAGGGCGGCGAAGTCAGGAAGAGCTGTCGCGTGTTTAATCCCAAGAGCCCCGTTGGAGGTGGTGCACGGCCGCCGGTTGCGAGTCCTCGCCCTCCGGTTGTCAAACCCCGTCCGCCGGTCCAGCCAAGTCCTCATGGGCCGGTTGTGAGCCCTCGTCCGCCAGTTTCTAAACCTCGTTCCCCGGTGGTGAGCCGTGGTGCGTCGCCGCCTAAGAGCGGTGGCAAGAAGAATGTGCCCAAGAAGACACATAAGAAAAGTTCATCTCCACGTAGGAAAGGGAGCAAGAAGCCCGCAAATGGACACCACTCACACCAGAAAAAGAAACCCAGAAAGGGTCACTAAAATCTAAATTACTTTCTCTAATATTGGAATGGGAGAGTAACCCTCCACATGTCAGTGGCTCATTGGGGATAAAAAAATTGTTCAGCTGATTTGATTCTTGTGATCGAGAGATTGTACGTATACAAGTCAACCAAGCTCGAGCTGTAAACCAAGCAAAGCATGAATTAATAATTAGGCCCAACTGCAAGTCTGCAACTTGACGATGCTGAATGCAATCCGAACAATGATAGCTCAGAACTGGGTAGTGAGGCTAATTCGTGAAGGAAATAGACTAAGAACAATCACCACTGATTCCATGTTAACATTAAGAACTAAAGTTGGACTTAGTGACCCATAAAAGGCTCTTAGGAAGTATCAAAATGATCACGCACCTCCCCTTCACAATCGAAGCTAATGGGTTATATGCAAGATGAGGGCCAGGACTAGTAAGTTTTACTAGAGAGATGTGACTAAAGAGCTAAAGCAACCCAATTTCGAAAAATTAGAGGTGAACATAAAAGAGTTGTACTTCTACCAAGAATCATTCTATTTTTCATTCTACTTAACTTAGACATGTTTCACTGGCTTCGTTTGGTTTTGGTGATTGTTTGGTTGGGATAGTTACAATCCATGCATTGTTACAATGTATCGTTTTTTTGAATGTGCTGCACAAACAATACATGCATTGTTTGCTTGATTTGATGCTAACTATCACTCAAAATGAGTGATAGTTAAATCTCAAGTTTTTGGTGAGATTGTTGAGATTATTTGATTGAGATTGATGTGATTTATTTTTCCAACTATGTCCCTACCTTTTTATGTGTGTTGCTTTTTTATATTAAAAACAAAGGGTGAAAGTGTCATTTCACCCAAAAAGTAATATAACTTATTTAAATAACACAATAACTATCACAAAAATCAAACGATGTAAACTACAATACACCAATTATCGTATATACATGGATATTATTATGCATGCATTGATGACAATGCATCTATTTAACTATCACCAAAACCAAACCACCCCTGTTGGAGAATGAAATTGACTTCTCTATGACTAACAAGGCACGAGGAAGGTCGTAAAGTATTCATTGTCCAGGGGGAGCGGATCCCATCAGTAACGTATTGGTCAATAACCATGCATATTTCAACCAGAATCCGCCACATCAACACTCCTCTCTCTCTTTGAAAGTCTTTAATATATATTTTTTTAAATTTTTAACAAACGATTTCTCACTCATTTCAAGTAAGAATTTAAATTTTTTTGCTCAAATAAATCAGATTAATTGTGCTCTACAAAATGATATCCACTTTGAAATATTTTTGGATAAAAAAAATTGAGGCATTTTTACCAGTCTATACCATGGTGGTATTCATTGGAATTAAAATAAGAGCATACCATATGATATGAAAGCGTACCATGGTGGTCTGAACATACCAAGACTGTAAGATGATAAGATACATGATAGTAGGAATATACTAACTGTCATTTATGACTTTTAACATTGTGTACCACAAGATACCACCTCTCATACGAGGGTGGTATTGTGTGATATTTTTTTGTCCTGTATTTTGTTTACCCAAAAATTTGTAGATCCAATAGATTATATGTAGATCCAATAAATTTCAAAAATACTTAAAAATGAAGGAAATACGATATTGTATGTAGTTGGTAATTAATGAGAGGTATGAAATATTTTTTCTCAAAAAAAATATTGAAAATGGATCTCAATTTTTAGAGCACAACGAACTCGTTCCATCTGTGCAAAAAATTGAAATTCGAGTTAGAACGAAAAAGATAACAGCCGATTAAGATAACTAGAGAAAATAAAATGACTTTAATTCTCCACCCTTAGATCTGAATTTTCTGGACTCACTAAAAAAAGGTAGAGATTTAATTATGCAAGATGCATAACCCTTGTTATGCATCCTAATTTGAACCTTGTCAATTCAAGTTTGGAGATAGGTTTGTGGCCTTTGTTGGTCAACGAAATTATGGCTTAGTTTTATCCTCAAGCTTATCAAGATGCATTCAGAAGCATTCAACAAAGTTTATCAAGTACAGCGAGGCAGTAACGATCAAAGAAGCTATCGTCCCCTCCGTGTTTAGAATTGGTCAATTTGCGGCCTTCGCCATTCTAACTTTCAAGTTGGGCATTCACTAAGTCCATGCTCAGCTCGAGGGAGAGAATAGGGCATCATCTTACGTGGTCAATCAGTTCAGCATATCGACCATGGTGTATCAGTTAAGGAGGTTCCCAAGTCTCGTTCAAGAGAGACGATAGTCAGAAGTCTCTCGATCGGTCTCATTCAAGTGAGGCGAAGTCAATAGCCTCTCGGTCAATCTCATCCAGGTAGAGGCGCAATCAATTGTCTCCACCATATCGTTCGGAAAGACGCAGTCAATTGTCTCTGTCAAGTCATTCAAGAGATGCAGTCAACCATCTTCGTCAGGTCGTTCAAGAGGCGCAGTCAACCGTCTCTGTCACGACGTTCAAGAAGACGCAGTCAATCGTCTTCGTCAGGTTGTTCAGAGAGAGAGTCAGTCATCTCTAGATCAATCTCATCCAAGATGTCAAGGAATTTTGCCATTTGTCTAAAAGAACTGGGTCAAGCATGGAGTAGTTTCGTCATTTGTCTACCTCTCCCGCAAGCGAACAAAGTCACAACCTGTTGGATCTTGCTTGTCAGCAAGAGGTTGTTTGAGAGTTGTTCATTTTCAAGCTCGACATTCTTGTCATTCATGTCTTTGCTTGAGGGGGAGTATTGTGGTTACTTGTTAGTTGAAGACTAAGTAACCGTGTCATCATAATAGTTTCCTTGTCCATGTAGTCCACTGTTGTCCTTGTCCCAGTAGGAACTTGTCTCGTGTGTTCAAGGATTTCAACCCTATAAATAAGCTTAGCTGCGAGGTTTTCGTAAGTAAGCCGTCACAATATAGTCCTATAATAAAATCGTCAACCGTGAACTCGTACAACTCATCGTGGATTAGTCCTGTTCACGTCGAACAGGGATACCACGTAAATATCTCATGTCTCTCGCGTTCTTTTCAATTCCGTGTTATCAAATTCTATAGAAGCAGAGTACTGCACAACGTGAATCAAGTTCTCTAACACGTTTATGGCAGCATCCCAACCCAACGGAAGGTGTTCCCCTATATCTCCCAACTTACCCAGATGATGAAGCATATTCATAGGTTAATTGTGAACGATGTCAAACAACTCTCTCAATGATTTATGATTAGATCACTAGCTGATGCATGACCTAAATCTGGGGGGAGGCGGGTGACTTCCATCAGACCTCTACCTCTTTTCTAGTGGATAGATTAGGCTGATGGATGAGCCTATATCTATCATAGTCAATCCTCACTAGGGTAAATCATGCTTGGACATTTTGTAGAAAGCCTTCAATTGTCATGATCTAATCCGTGAAGACTCAATCATATCAAGTATTTAAAAGAGACCAGTTGGTAGTGCCACACCCCAATCTTGTGTGTTATTGACTGTTGTCGAAGGTATCATACTAGCCAATCTTGAAGAGATCATATGAAGCAATGTTGGTGCTTAGAATGCCATGTCATCTACATCAATGCAATTGCAAATGAATGTCATGCCATAATGCAATTCTAAATGCAATTCCAATGTGGATGCTCTTAGAAAAATGGATGATTTGCATCCAAGTTACCCAAAAGACCATGCCTTAGTATGTCGATTGGACACCTATAACATACAAAAAAAATTGCTTTGGAATAAATTATGAATGCGGTCAACATCCTACTCACTTCGGTTATTGATAAACTCGACCATTGGTTGATTCGGGTTTGTGGTTGTTACAATGATAACACTAAAATTATGGTGTTTGCAAGGTCCTATATTTGATACATCTAACCTCATATCGATACATCTTTAGTAGTTTTTATTATATCTTTTACGAATTTAGTAATTGTTTGATCATTGCGTGCATTTTAGACCTTGATTGTGTTTTTGTAATATTTTGCGTCTTTCTGGCAATATTTGTTCATATCAAAATTAACTTTAAGATAAATTTGGATCAACAAATGGATAAAGGGGGCCACTAGTAGAGATCGGAATGCATAAAGATGGAAGACTTTGTAGTAGTGATGGCAAAAATATTCGTAACCGTGGGTATCCGCCCAAATCTGGTCTAATCGGGTAGGGTAAAATCCAAACCCAAATGACTTTTAGTGGGTACAGGTAAAATCCAAACCAGAATATTGCGGGTAATGGGTGGACATGGTTTTCTCACTATCCAACGCAAACTCGCCCGATTATACACATGCATATTTATTTATTTTAGAAATAATCATTATTTTTCTCTAACATATTTTATATTTAGCATATAAATAAAATAGTTTCATTAAATTGTGTTGTTTTAATTTATTTTCTTCTTCTAGTGAATTATTGTCGTACTTTTCCTCATATGTAACGTGAGAAAACATGTGAATGTTAACATATTGGTTGGAGTTACAAACATAAATTATTGTCCATGGATAATTGTGGATACCTGAAACCCGAACGGGTATGGACATGGTTTTTATTTTCTACCCGTTTCTTATGTGGGTATGGGTATGGGTAAAACTCGAACTACTTTGGACACTATCCGCCCCCGGCCTGACCCGTTGTCATCCCTACTTTGTAGGTTTTCACATACCAAACAGGAGTCCAGTTGAGCTGAAAGTCGGAGAGCAGTTGTTTAAGCCTAAGAGATGCCTACAAGAGAGAAATTAGAGTAATATGAGGAAAGCCAGTAAAGGCTTCCACCTGATGGGTCTAACCGACGTTGTTGGCCCTGTGCATTCCAATTAAAATTATAGTGTTTATACATTTGATACATTATGAACTATAGGGGTAGGATACTATGCCTACCCTTAAAGGGGTTGGTTTTTTGACACCCCCTTCTCAATTCGTCAATTTTTTCATTAATCATTGACAAGTATTAATGAAGGTAGACATAATAAATGTTCTGTTATTTAATACAAAGTAAGCATTAAATACACCACA